CAAAGCAAACTCATTGAAATTCTCACCCCTGTGGTTCCACAATGGAATCAGCAGGTACTCAATGATGTGTACAGAATGTCTACGCAAGGACGCCACCATTTATGCGGCAGCGTTCGCAAAATGTGACAATGAACCACGCGGCTGCAAAGCGGCTTCAACTTTACCGTTTCCTCACACTCAATGGAATACAACCTACCGTTTACTCTTGGACAAGGCGTTAAAGTGAACTGCTTCCAAGAATCAAGGAAAGGTCTAACCACTTGTGAGAGGACTTAAAACACTGTAAGAATTTTCACAAGAATGCTGGGTTGTGAACAAAACTTTCGCCCCAGGCGGGACTAGAACCCGCACCTCTCGCTTTCCGGGCAAGTGCGCTACCAGTTACGCTACCGGGGCACCATTTCATTCCAACTCAGCTTTTCATGGTATACGTACCATAGCTTTCAGCACTCACACGTCTAACGTGTTGAGCCGGTTAGCCGATATCGGCAATGACCGCGAGGCTGAAAGCTTTAGCAATTTTTGACTTGTTTTGTTTGTTAACTGCTGTTTTAACGCCGCAGTTCGCGTTGCGAATGTTTCACAAGAATGCTGGGTTGTGAACAAAAGTTTCGCCCCAGTTGGGACTCGAAACCGCACCTCGAACTTGTAAGGTGTCATGGTGAGATGGTCCAATCAGCTTGAACGGCTGGAGAGACTTGAATAAGTGGCAATGGAAATGATCCTCAGAATGGTAGGAGATTACGTTGTTAATTCTAGCCTATAATGTCTCAAAAATGAAGCGGTTTGAGAAATACCGAATATCTATGAAGCAAACCATTATATGATGGGGTGGGGAGGGGGAGAGGAAGCAGAGGCTATAGGAGTTCATTCTGATGGACATCAGAAAAACATCAAAATCAGAAGATTATGCATTAAAAAGAGCAGTATCCATTCAGTTTCCCATGTTGTTTCTATGTGTCTGCGTGTAATGTGATATGGTAAATGTATTGTTATGTTGTAGGTATCTAAAAAATCTCACATAAACGTGTGTACGTACAAAAAGAAGTTGGGCTGGTCAGCGGGGAGAAAATAGACGTAAAGATACTATTAAACTGTTAAATTGCAAGTAATCCACTCAATGAGTGAATCGTCCAAGCCGAAGAAAAAAGCCAAGATGAGGAGTGGCAAGCGCAGAGGCAAAAGTGCTACTGCTAGTCCAAGGGGGTGTTCGCGCCGGCGAGCGCCCTCCGGTTCAGCTGAGCTCTTTAGTTTATTCTTTTCCATCATCGCCTTCAAAGCGTGAGCTAGCAAATTCGTGTCCTGGGTTCGTCAAGTAAACTGCGACAGGCATCCACTGCCGCAAAGGAGAACTTCTTTTTTCAGAGAGAAACAACTCAAGAAGGATGGAGGTCGATTCCTTCATGCAATCAGCTCATGTTCAAAATTTGAATGCTTACAGCTGAAATTTGCTCCTATAATATGAATTTTTCCCAAGAACTTATTGAGAAAAGGTTATGTAAATATGAAACGAAACTGTGGCTCATAAAACCCATTGGGATAGGCCACGAACTCGATTTCTATTCAAAATCTAAAGATAAATTTAGGACAACATTAGTAATGCCTTTTTTAGAAAACGAGAAGAGCGTCGGTGCCAGACCACACCACCACAACATCACGACGGGCTAGTACAAAATGTAAATGTTTTCTACTCAACAGAATATATGATTAGTCCACTATAACTTCGTATAATGTATGCTATACGAAGTTATTACGTTTAAAGGACGAATTTACGATGGAAAAGCAACCCATTCCAAATTGAGGTAGAGATGGTGAGTAGTACCAGAAAGAAAGCGAAACCACGAAAAACGGCCCAGAACCGGAGAAATGGGACCCCTTCCTTGTCCGTTGATTTGAGCATTGATGGGACTCTCATCGCTTTGCCCTCTTCAACCCTACGCTCTCTCAGCTATCTAATCACTCGCCACCTATTGTACTACGGCGAGTGATCAGACGATCGGTGGGCGGAGATCGCCGAACTCGCCAACTTTGAGCCATGCTAGATCTCAGAGGTCAAATCTTTCGATGCCGATTGCGTGTCTGTCCGCACCCTCAAGAGATTCACCGCTCTCCCCACTAGGCGATTTCTCCCTTCTTCGACCTTCGTTCTTTCCGTGCAATCCTCCTTTAATGCAATCGTTCACCATTTGCGGGCACGGACTGCATCGACGGTTGCTCCCGTTTTTTGAACAAGGGGAGGATACAAAATCTTGATTGCCCACAAGGGCTTCACAAAAAAAGCCAGGCAAAACGGGCATCCCAGTCTTAGCTTAGGAACCGACCTTGGGCTGGAATTGAACGCCGTGGACTTGCTTAAGGGTTATCACCAGTCCTGCAGGCAACAGCGAAGAATGTGTGGTTAAAGAAAAAAATGTGTGCAAAATTTTCCAAAAAACGGATGCCGAAAAGAAGGAAAGTCCAGGAAATCACGCCGGGTTGTTACTATCCAAGCAGATCTTTGATGTTGCAGACGAATTCGTCTCCCATTTCCTAGGGATAGATGGCCAAAAAAAAAAAAGAAAGGCGCACCAAATGGTTGCTGCAGCGTTGAGCTGATCATTGGCTTCATCATAACCGGCTTGATAGGCTCGCTCATTCACCGTCAGAGGGCCACGGACTTTATTGGATGTCCATCAAAACCTCTTTTCAAATTCGCATTCAAGTGGGCTGCTTGTCAGGAACTTTTGGCCTAATTCGACTAATCTGGTGGGTAAGGGGATAGTGCCCCTCCCTAACTTCCCCTTAGGATTATAGCGATCCCCTAAATGGTCTCCCCTTCTCACCTTCGTCTACTGCCATATTTTTCCATCGTCCGTACAACTAGCTGTACCTGACCATACCCATCGAAATGCCCGGCGAACGACACTTATGTTCGACATGACCAACTGTTCCTTAGAGGGCAAAATACGACCTCCTATCGATCATCCTTGCACATTGGCTCAGACTGGTCCACATAAGGCGATCATGATGCACACACGAAGTAGACAGAAGCTCTTCCTCATGAGAAATAGCATGATCAAAAAGCCGTGCGAAATTTCTCAATGACGCCCTGATACCCGTTGCTACCTCAGGAAAAAATGAAGGTTTCGTCGGTGAGCCGCGCATTTTTTCCACTCGCCGCTCGAACGCTTCGCACAACCCTCGCACCTCCAATTAGGGGTTGATGAATGCGACCTTGACGTGAAAAATTGAAGGGCGTCAAGTGGTGAGATTTCGGACTGCCGAGAAAGATAAATGACCGCGCCGTTTTTTGTGAGCCGTTTGCGGTTTAGTGATAGTTTGCAAGGATTTAGCGTTCAATTTCACACGTCGACGTTTACGCGTTCTGCAGTGAGAGTGGCGGGATTGAATGCGCGACCTTAGAACTGCTCCGTGAATTTGATTTCTAGCCAAGATCGTGAATACGTTTGAATGGGTACTGATTACATAGGGCGCAGGCAGAGGTAAAGCGGTTCCCGCTCCATCCCACCACTTTGAAACGTGGACGAAAATCTTAACTATCATGAAGCTCGAACAAATAAAACATAATAAGCATTGTTTCACAAGAATGCTGGGTTGTGAACAAAACTTTCACCCCAGACGGGACTCGAACCCGCACTTTTTGCTGTACCATCTTATACACTTGAAGTTTCTTTATTTTTAATTTGGAGTTAGATATCTAAAGGCAAAGGTGCGGGTTCTAGTCCCGCCTGGGGCGAAAGTTTTGTTCACAACCCAGCATTCTTGTGAAACATTCGCAAGGCGAACTGCGGCAAAAACAGCAGTTAACAAACAAAACAAGTCAAAATAGATATTATTTTGCACACAGCAAATTTTCAATAGGTCGACTCCGCTTTAACTGAAGGACACTTATTATTATTATTATTATTATTATTATTATTATTATTATTATTATTATTATTATTATATTATTATTATTATTATTATTATTATTATTATTTCGTATAACTTTATCATTTGGACTTACCTGGCCGCGTGACACAGATTAAACTAACTCTTCCGGATTCGCCCCTTATAACTTTAAAAAGTACCCAACCTAATAAATCAAGTTTCAAAATCTTCAGATCGCAATAAAAGTAAAATAACTCCAAAGTGTAACAAACGGGACAGTTTCATTATATAAACCAAATATCCCATTACTAGAAAGGTTTCTTTCCTTTGATTAAATGATGGGAAGCCTTACTATCAGACCAACTATAAGTATAGGCCAAAACCTGCCACGGAATCGGAATTCGGAATTCGACCAGCGATACAAAATGGATACTACGGATTCATGCTTTTTCTGTAGTTCAGAGCATCGCTTGAAACTCTTCGACATGAAAAGCGTAACCCATCTGGCTTTTCATTTGTTCAATGAGTTTTAATTTGTTATTGGTATTTTGACGTTATGTATTTATCAATTACCTCTAATTATTATATTATTATTATTGTTATTTATTATTATATTATTATTATTATTGCTTAATTATTATACTGGCTCACTATTATGCGGCATATGCTGCAATTCTCTAATACTGCCATAATTTTTACAGTTATTGCATCAAAAGATAAAGCACAGAAACCGAGAATCATCTTCATCATTTTTCCAAAACAATTCTGAAAAAATAATAATATAAATAAGAACATGTGAAAAATGAGCGATGGACAATAGGAAATATAATAATCAAGATCGGCAATATGAAATATAATAATTAAGCAAATTTTTACAGCTATTAGAGTAATGTCTTTGCGTAGGTTTTCGTAGAAAAGAATCGGAAGGTTTTCATGAGCGAATTTTAACACCCCTGAAGTCGGGGTGCATTATTGGACCATTTTTGAATTCCTATGAACCAATTTTTTCCACTTCCTAGTCTGGATTGTAGTCTGGATCAATTTGTAGAACTTCCGAGAAGTTTACGCGTAGCTTTCAAAACAAAAATGACAGAAAGGTTTAAAGGTGGTTTAAACGTTTCTACCGTACCTGTACTGCATGTGGTCCATTGAGCCGGTGTCGGTGCCGGGCACGGTTCACGATCTCGACACTGATATTGAACGATAACGGCCAGCACGGCCACTGAGATCACTATCAACTAAAGTCAATTTAATATTAGTAGTCAGAGATTACTATATTTATTATATATTCAATTTGGAAGCAGTGGAAATCTATTCAAAGGCGCGACTAGGTAGGTTTCATACTTCGCGATTAATCGTCAGCGACACGCGCGACTAGCAAGCGATCGATCGCAGAGTCTGATACCTATTTTACGGTGAGTCAACCAATTTCTACTCCAAAGCAGCCGGGTGTGGTGATAACCGTATTGTCAAGGCACAGTGGGCGTCGGGACAGCATAAACCTAACCCGACGTTACAAAAAGCTGTGCCATCGATTCAGTGGCATTAAAGTATCTCGCATTGATTTTTTGAGAGCACGTAAATGAAAAAAAATTCTGCGTTAAAAAACCGGTCGATAAAAAACTCACAAAGACGAAGGCGATAAGTAGAAGTGAGTGATCAGCAAGAAATGAAAGACTTGCGTCCGCTACGGACGTTGACAAAACCGCCGACGTTGTGGTCGTAACCTTGAAAAATTCTTTTCATCAAAATAGGGCTTGCAACTTCTCCAAAAGAAGCTTCTACTTCGCTCCGTTCTGTGATTCTTGTTCGTTTCTGAAGATCGAAATTGCAGATGCTATGGTCAAGGCGTTGACTTATTGGAAGAACGTTCAGCTTGGGAAGGAACTCGGACTCGAACTTATAGTTAAAGGAGACCATGTTTACCCATTACACTACCAAGACCTCATCAGCTTCAATAGCGTGCTTATCATAGCTTATCAGCACTTAAATGGTTATCCGTCTTTACCTTCTGTTGATCGGTCTGTTACCTGTTCGTGTGGTTAACTTCGCCCAACAAGGGGGTCCCATTTGATCATGGGGATGGAAAGGTCGTGATTCATGCAGGCAGCATGTAGAAGGTGTGCCAATGAAATATGGAGGGGAAGAGGGTAATGCCTGGAAAACCTGCGGACAAAACACGAGACTGTCCAAAATGTGCCGCCGTGTCATTACACGTGTCTTGGCGGGTAAGAGAAATATTTGGTTACAGTAAATCTGCCCCACGTTCACGACCATATCAAGCAGTAATTTCGCAATAGCCTCAATTTTTGGTCGGAAGAGATTGTGTGGAAAGCCTGCCTTCAATTGGGTGGGAGTGGAGGGGAGAAGGGTCGGAATTCACCACGGTTTTCCCTGGCACATCACACGTTTGACCTTACAAGCTGGTTAGTAGATGTTCGGCAGTAAGCTGTCCAAGCTGGGTATACTCTGATGGGCTTGTTTTGTTGGTTTTATACCATTGAACGAGGAGGGGATTCCACGATAAGATCACGAATGGTCACCGAGGAAGCGGATACCCTACTGAAGTACAAAGCATCCCAAAAGGTGGATGAAGACGCATTTATATAGCAAATATATATTATATATATTTATTACACGAGCTATGTTCGTGCACATAAAAAAAACGGAACAAGATAAGTCCAACGAGTTCTGATCTTAAAACATGATGAGGTAGACGAACCAAAAACAAGAAATAAGAAAAAAAAAAAAGTTGACATGGAACAGCAACAGCAAAGGATAGAGAGGAGAAGTGTATGGTAAGAACTAGGAACCAAGGATTTCACGGGCTCATATGCCCGAGCGGCTAGCATGGGTACCCCGCACCGCTATCGCCTGCAGCACGCCAACGCCTGGCTATAACAACTCGTCCGCGGGCGGACAATTAAGCGGGAAAGGAAGGTTTCCCGTACTCGTCGTTCTAAACATTTCTTATTGGTTTTTCTTCATCACGGACGCCAGAGGCTACCCTCTACCTTAACGTTAACGGGTGCTGTCTTTCAATCAAGCACTTGCCTGACCGTTTAAGTGGCGGGAGGTCAAGGACAAAGCCCGTGGTGTAATGGATGGATGTGGCATTTGTCGGTGAAAGCAGTATGACCGTGTTCGAGCCCGGGCTGAAGCAGCGGAGAATCAACCCAATACTCAGGCATATCTATAAATGCAGGTGAGGATTGAACGATGGCAACAGTGGTCGAGGAAATTCCAACACCCTACCTTCAGGACTTCAAACGCCACTAAAATTTGGTGCCAAAAATTTGAATGTAGGTCTTTTGGTGCCAGCATCGGCCTGGAACTGTAGACAATACGACGTACACGGGTGGCCCCTCACCAACTTTGGAGCGGCCTCCGTTACGTTCAAATCAAAAAGGCGGCATGATCATAGAAGGAGAGTGAAATCCATGGACGCACTTCAGATTGCTCTACGCGCAGCCAATCTTGACTTCCTTCCCGCCGTTCTCACTTCCACCACAATCAACATGATAAGCATAGCACATTCTCTTGCAAAGGAGAGGAGGAGGCCTGACATTTGACTGAAGCACCGCTGTCTCACCTTTATTGGCCCTACAGTTTTTTTAGAAAATGTTTTTTCAGATCGTCCTAAGCACCGAGTTACGGTAATGGATCCTGGGTGGTTTTTATAAGCGGCTTGGACTCAAGTGACCTTCGGGACAGATCCCAGATAGCAGATAAAGTCGTAACCTTGACGTTCTGGGTAAAAGCCTGCGCGACAGGTTTCCAACGCAGCTTTTTTTTCAGGGCCTAGAAAGGGTCAAAAAAAAGTCCGGCTCCATCAAAAAGAAAATAACGTTCACAGTTTTTTTGTCTATCTTGCATTTCCATCATCTCCCGTCTTACCACTCCCAAAATCGCCTTTAGCTGGGGCGTTTCATTCCCCTTGCTTACTATTTATTTTCCCTTTACCCTCCTAATTCTGTAATTTATCTCTGAGAGGGAGGATAATGATTGTTGGCGACATGAAGTTATTATCATCACTTATTATCATTTATTATTATATTCCTTACTATTATTGCTAGTTATCTTGTACACTGCATAATCTCTGAAGGAAAAGTATCATGAAACACACCTCAGTCGGAAAAAGTCTGGCTAGTTCTGTCTTGGAGGGAGAGATCATGGTTCACATAGTTTAGACCTGAAATCGGAGTATGACAATTTGTACGGTAAGGTCAAGGTACTGCACTGGAACGCGAAGGATACTGTAACGAAACGATAAGAATACGGTAGTGAAGAATGAGTTGGCAGTGGATGATAGCAGAATATTTATGTAAACGAAAAATATATGCAACATTCGAGTAATTGGCAAAAGCTTTAGGAAAAAATTGAAATTTTCAGATCAGAAGATCAATTCAGAGCATAGAAGGCGAGAAAACGTAAGGTGGGCACAGGGAAGCTCCCCTGCAATGCGCCACGCACTCGACCTGTTTCCAGAATCAGAGGACAAATCAATAGGATGCGCATCGGTGAATAGAAAGGTTTGCAAAGCCCATCGATGTTGAGATCATTTCACAAGAATGCTGGGTTGTGAACAAAACTTTCGCCCCAGGCGGGACTAGAACCCGCACCTCTCGCTTTCCGGGCAAGTGCGCTACCAGTTACGCTACCGGGGCACCATTTCATCCCAACTCAGCTTTTTGAATTGGTAGGTTGTGTCGGTGTCAGAAAGGTTGAGGACTTGTTAGCATGGAGCTTCTTGTTCCATGGCGAAAAGTCGGTCTACTGCGAGCCTACACCCCTCATTACTTCAAATAAACTTGGAAGAAGATTCAAGGCCTCCCTATTGTCACAAAGATTTTTAACAACCAAAAACAAGTCAAAATCAATTGCTAAAGTTCTCAGCCTTAACAACGAAAACAAGTTAAGATCAGTGTTTTTCCTTTAGAATGAGGTTAGTTGCCTCAAAGAAAAGAAGTTGGTCCAGACAGGTTCATAGTCTCGAAGTGCGCTCTTCTCTTCACACTTAACTACAAGTCTATCTCTGTCTCTTTTTGCTTCGCGAAAACATTTTCATACGAATTAAAATCCGAGTTACAGGTAGATCTCCCATGCGGCAAGCACAAGTGGGGATAGAGC